ACATCTGTGGAGCGCATCATTGGTCTGGTGTTTACCGGGCACACTGAGGTTCTGGTAGAGGGGAACACAGCAGCTGGTTCAGGTGGAGGCTCTGCCTCATGCAGCACTGCCATTGGATGAAAGCTTTAGCAACATGGTGCTGGGGCTGCCAGTTATTCACACCTTCATCCTTTAAAGTTTTCATCTTCCTCTCAAACTCGTCCTCTACAGACAAGATAAGACAAAGTTTCAGTGACACAGAACCAGAGACCAGCAGCAGTTTGTCTTCTTGTTCAGGCTGATGTGGAAGCATCAGTGATGCTGCTGTCACAGAAACTCTGACTACAGTCCATCTGCTGAGTGCTTTCAGAGAGACTAACCTGCTGACAGCTGACCGTGAATAATAAACAGAATAATCAGATTTATGGAGCTGAAACTGTAGAAGTTGAGACCAACCTGGGCTATTGGGGTCACACACAAACCACAGCAGGAGGGCGTGGAGGCAGTGGACAGTTTCAGCTTTTTGGCCAAGCTTTAAGTTGTTAAACCAGAAAACAGTCACACAGACTGGCAGCTTCAGCTGGTCGGGGATGTTTTCTAAGGCTGAAGTCTGAACCTGCAGAGCTTCTTCAAACACTCTGCGACGCAAACCCTCAGGAGCCTGCACAGAGAGGTACCACACAGACAAGATGCTCACATGTACCACAGAAACACGTCTATGACCTGTCAGAGGAATTAAACACATATTTCATGAATAACATCAGTACCTCAAGCAGACGCTGTAGTTGCAGATTCTTCTGTTCATCACTGCTCAAATCTGGCAGGAGAGCTTGTACATCTTTAGTTAACAGTTTGTAGAAGTACTGTCTGATGGGGTAAGCAGCGGTGTAACTACTGCGCTGTGAAAAATCCTCCACAAGAACAGGAGGCATCATTGACTTCTGATCCACGACACTTATGACGGAAGTGGTGAGTTCTCCACGCTCAACTTTTTTACGCACCCATGTCGGCAACTTAGAACTTGGTTTTTCTGGTTGAACATATTTTTGAATGGCAAGTTTGAATGTTTTGTTCTCTTTTTTACCAACATGACTTAAAGCTTGACTCAGAGCACGTTCTCTCTTCTGTGAGTCGTTCAAACCATCCAGGTTCGCTTTAGTTAAAAACCTGAGCATACCATCCAGTCTTTTAATGCTGTACTCACCAGATGAAGATGATTGTCTTGCAAACCTACCTCTATCTTCTAATCTTGAATAATCATTTCCTGCTATTGAAGCAAAGACTGGCATGAGAGCAGGGTCCAATTTAAAATGCTCACAAAACTTTGAACGTGTGTAGAGCTTAGCAGGAATTTTTTCATCCTTTTTGCTTTTCCACTCAAAGTTGTCAAGATGAAGGAAACCTTTGCACAAATCAAAGATGCAAAAATCCTTATCAATGGACAGAACAGGACATTGTTTCTGATTTGCATCAGAAACAACTTCAGGGTCTGCCTCTCCTAAACACTGTTTAAACTCTATGCCTTTCTCCTTCAAGATTTCTATGAAGACATCTTTTACCAGGGGTGGTAAGACATTACATCCTTTTGGTACAGCATTCTCAGGCTTTGTCGTCGCTATTGTCTTTGCTTTTTCCTCTGTGTCTTTTCGACGATACACAAGTGTTTTGTGCTTGTCAGGATCTGAGCCTCCATCCAGGAAGACGTACGGAGTGACTTCACAGACCTGCAGAGTCTTAAAGAAGTTACAGACCTCATCTTTGAATCCAGGATAATCTCCTCCACAGCGCCGGTCCAGCTTTGGATCAGACGTATAATACAAAGAGTAGTACAGAGCTGCACCATCAATGATGAGACCTGTTTTTTCTATGTTAACCTCTTCATAGAGACACAAATCATCTATCATTTTCTTTAACTTTGAAACCTCCATGATTTCTTAAAGTGTAGATGAAGGTGAGCAGTGATTATTGTGCTAATGCCTCTGTGTCTGCAGATATTTATACATCTGCTAGAACATCATACAGGTACATGCCCACACTGACAGAACCAGTCACACCTTTTCTGACTAATCTAACATACCTATGTTACTCTTTTGGTTTCATTTCTTTCATCTTCATGTTTTGATTTTCTGTTTCATTTCACTCTGTGGAGCAAAATCAAATGTGTTTCATTAGCTTTCCAGCTCTGTTAAAAAAGCAAAGGTACTTAGTGTCCATCACAAAGGCTCAACCCTGCTATGAACTGGAAACTGCTGCAACACCAGTGTCACCGTCCACAGTGAAGACAGTGTTATATAACCATGGACTGAGAGCGTGCTGACTAAGAAAGAAGCAACAGCTCCATAATCGACATCTTGAAGCTCGACTGAAATTTGCAGCTGCTCACATGGATGAGCGAAATGTGTTTTGGAGAAAAGTTTAAGTTTGAGCAGATGATATAACTGACTGTTTAAATAGGACAAAACACACACACGAAACTTTTTTTGGAGTGGTCAAAGCAGCACAAAGAACAAACAAAGAAACAATTAAACCAAAAAAAAAAAAAATCTCATTAATTACCAACACATAATGCAAATAAGCATACAACCTGATATAAATCCACTTGCTTTCCTAAAATTTTAACTTTTGCAGAAGATTTCGATTTTTCTGATTAAATTTTTGCTGTAAGTGTTTGAAACATTTTAAATTCAGATTTTACAAACAAAGTAAAAGCAATAAATGACAAAGAATATTCTGTAAAAGAAGTAATGCTCTCTGATATGGAAGCGTCAATTTGTCAATTACCTGTCACTGCGCTAAACATCTTTTGTTTTAATCTCTTGCTTTCACAGCTCCAGTGATAACTGTGAAGACTAAAAAAATGTATTTTAATCAGTGACAGACTGGTGACCTGTCCTAACCCCCACCTCTCACCCAATGACTCTCACCCAACTAAATATGTCCTTTGCCAGCTTATATTTAAAAATGAAAATGGTATTTTCTTCCAATAATATTTTCTATAGTAACAAAAAGTAGTATTGTTGTCCTGTGTGTCTATTGCTCTGTTTTTCTTCTTGGTTCTTTTACAGCACATCTCTGATAGAAATGAAAACAAAACTATTTCAACAGCACAAACCTGCACAATCAGTTCATTTGTGACACTGTCTTGTTCAGTTACACATGCTTCCTCACACAGTTAAATTCAATTCAATTTTATTTGTATAGCACCAAATCATAAAACAGTCGCCTCAAGGCGCTTTATATTGTAAGGTAGACCCTAAAATAATGCAAGGGAAAGAACCCAACAATCATATGACCCCCTATGAGCAAGCACTTTGGCAACAGTGGGAAGGAAAAACTCCCTTTTAACAGGAAGAAACCTCCAGCAGAACCAGGCTCAGGGAGGGGCGGGGCCATCTGCTGCGACCGGTTGGAGTGAGAGAAGTGGTATTTGTCTAATGTAAGATGTTTCTCTGTCTGATGAACAAAAATAAAACATTTCATTAAGAACAGGATGATTCATGATTCCGAAACTCTGGCAACATTTGAGAATCATTTACTTATCGGTAGTGATGTGACGTTCTGTATCGAGGCTTCAAAGCTTGTGTCGGGTAATGGAGGGGGCGTTTCCGCGATGTGCGTAACGATGCTTGCTTCATTTATGGGAGGAGCTGAAAATGATGACGTCCGAAGCCTCGCTGCCCGGCTGTACCACGTGACTGGTTCATGAAGTGGTTCGAACTTTGCCGCGAGCTATGACAGCGATATAAACCCCTCAGACCTCATTCAAAATGTGGGTGTTTGAGGGAGAGTTACGGTTAGTGAGAGTTTGGAGGTTTAGGAGAGTGAGGAGAGAAAGTCAGGAGAGAATGGAGCCAGCTGAGAAGAGGAGGATGTCCTTCCCTGTGTGCAGAGGTGGGTAGTAACGAGTTACATTTACTCCGTTACATTTACTCCGTTACATTTACTTGAGTAAGTTTTTAAAAAAAAAAGTACTTTTAAAGTACAGTTTTTGCACGAAACATTTTACTTTTACTTGAGTACATTTGTGAAGAAGAAACGGTACTTTTACTCCACTACATTTGCAAAATTCAACTCGTTACTTTTAAAAAAAATAATTAGTTTAACACATTAGATAGCATGCTGCCAGTGGAGTTTCCGGTAACTTTTTTACCAATCAGATGTGGCCATGCAGTCATATGACCAGTTTGAAACTGTTGCGGGCAGAGCGGCCCAAGCATTTCAAAGTAGCAGCGGAAGCACGGAAAGAAGAAACACATGAAAACATGGCAGAGCCAGTCATCTACGCTAGAGCTGAAGAGGATGAACACCTTTGGTTGACCTCACATACAAAGAATGTTTCACTTAAAAGCAGTACAAAAGAACAGCTATGTCTTCAGTGTCGGTGTCTTCAGTGAGAGCCAAAACAAACCAACTTTTCAGCGTGAAACAACTCAACTCGTGTAACCCGAGGAAACGGTAAGTTTTCTCTAAATATCTTTTTAGCTGTGGTTAGCTGGATGTCAGTCTTATGTTACAGCAGCTGTGTCGAGCTCGAGCTGTGAGTCATATTTTCGGCGCTACGTTGTAGTGAGATAAGTTTGTGGGTGTTTTGTGCAGCTTCGGCTGTCCTTTTAACTGCTCGCTGGTTAGCTAGCGTGAGCTATAAGCTAACAGCTAGCATGGTTAATGATGCTAGAGTTCAATGCACATGTAAACAGCTTGTCTCTACTGCTTTAACTGTTAAAACAGAAGGCAATACCTGCGGGTGACAGGGTTTATTATGTGAAACAGCAGCATCAGACATCACCTAGACTCAGAGCTGGATGAGACCAGCACAGACAGCAGCCTAACCGACGAAGATGATTGATTTACTGTAGGTATTGTTGAAAAAAGCTTTATGTTGTGAAAAACTGAAATCTGGAAATTAGAATTGTTGTGCCTTACTTTGTTGATCTTTTTACATATATTCCTTTTGAAAATACTAAAATTTGTATATTTGTTAATTTTTGTTTGTCTGATAACATTTATTTATAAAATAAATCTGACATTTCAAACAGTTACTCGCTACTTGAGTAGTCTTTTCTCCAAGTACTTTTTTACTCTTACTTGAGTAACTTTTTTGACGACTACTTTTCACTTTTACTTGAGTAATAATATTTTAAAGTAATGCTACTCTTACTTGAGTACAATTTTTGGATACTCGACCCACCTCTGCCTGTGTGGGAACATTTTGATCTTATTCCTCCCAACAAGGTATGCAAATTTCTACAGAAGATGTATTTTCATAATACTGATGGTGCAATGCAATTTATGTTAAGCGGCTTTACTTTTGTACAAGGTGAAGTGTTTGCTATGTGCCAGGGAGCTGGGCTATAACAACAACACCTCATCCATGCTTAGGCACTACAGAGCTTTGCATGAGAATAAGGGGAACACCGATTGTGGAGCAAGACCAGGTGAGCCATCAAATGCCATGATAATATAGCATGCAGTAATGTTACTAAATGATATAACAATATTATACAACTGTAATAAGTTACGTGTGTGATATTTATATTTGTGCTTTGTTTTTATTGTCTTTCCTCAGGAGAACAATCTCAAATAGATGAAGACCTGGTTAGCATGGTGATTGAGGACTCCCAGCCATTTAGCATTGTGGAGGACAAAGGATTCAAAAGATTTGTTAAATCATTAAATCCTAGCTATGTTCTCCCCACTAAAAAGGTCATAAAAGCAGTGAAAATTTAGTTTTTACAGAATAAAATGTGAACAGGCAGGACTGAGCTCAGTGTGTAGCTGTCCATACCTCAACGTTACAAAAGCACAACCACTGTCCACACCCCAACCACACCTCACCTCACAGTAAATGATCATTTCCATTTTAAGCATTTCCAAATAATCATTTTCCATACTGCCAGTATAAATATACACAGTATACTGCCATCACTACAATATACATGTTTTACACACTCCTTTTGTTGTTGACATTTACAGGCTGTGTGCAGTGTAGCTGCTTCACGTGAGTAGTGTGGGCTTGTCGGCCTCGGCAGCAGTAAAGCTAGCTGCTGCTAGTGACAGGGTGAGCTTGTGGGCCCCTGGAAGTGCCTCCTCGTGGTGTGGAGTTTTTTGTTTGGTTGTTGTGTTCTTTATTGTTGTGACCTTTTTCTTTTTCTAGTGTTATTGGAAAAACGGCGGTGCCGGCTCTTTATGTTAAGGTTCTCTATAATAAAAACTATTTTATTTACTAAACACCTGTCTGTTCTCCTTTCATTCTGTTCTGGACCCATTTGTTACCAGTCCCCCCACACACCCCTAGACCTTCTTCGTGGGGACGTAAGAAAAAGGAAAATTATAAAAAGCAACAACAACAAAACAAAACCCAAAACAATCAAATCATTGTACTTCTTTATAGTTGCCATCTTTACCACCTTCATCACAGCGACATATGATAGTATTAGAACAGTCAAGGCAGAGAGTGTTTCAGCCCCAACCAGCAGGGACAGGTGTTGTTTTGGCTCCAGAACAACAAGGACAGCAGGTGATCTATACAGGTGAAACTATATTGTTTTTTTTTTATCTCTACAGATTATCATGATTACTAAAATTCCTGCTTCATTGTTGCCATATTTTGCATCGCTGTGTCTGCCATCTTTACATCTCTATGGTAAACTTTACACATACTGTAGAGCAAAACCAAATGTGTTTCATTTCCCCCACAGCTCTGTTAACATCCAAACACAGAAAATCTATCCACAGAGATATGTTATCCAATACTTAGATTAAATGGTGACAGTAGTGAAGTAAAAGGGGACAGGTTAAAGAACCAACAGGTTGTTCTCAACCATTGTGCACTGTTGTGTGTTATCCTATTTTATCAGTTCAATTCAATTATGTTACATACATTCATATAGCACCAAATCACAACAACAGTTGGCCAGTTGGGGACCATCTCGGGAAGACATGCTGTGGAA